GCCAACAGAATCGAAGCTGCCACCAATGAATCTTTCATGTTAGGGAAAAGCTTTTGCATACGATCAACAACTTCCTGTGATAGTTTACTATATTTCTGATTGCGAGCACCTGATAATAATGCCGCTAAAATAAAAACGAGAAAAGAAAACGAATTCGTTATTTTAATTGATAGAAGTTTTCCTTTTCTTATCAAAATTCATTATCTGTTTTTTTTTCATTCAAAAAATACGTTTTATTGTATTTTTCTTTCGAAGAAGTACATGTATGGTAATTAAATAATAAGAGAGTATGTTTATCTATACATGAATTCAAAAACAAATCTAGTAGAAATATTTTGATTAATTTGCGATTCCCTGGGAAATTAGTTAACATTTAGTAGAAGTATTCTTCGCTGTTAACTGTACTGAATCTTACACTATGTTATTCGTTTTATGATAAAAAATTTGGTTTAATCGTTTATTTTGATTTTGAGTGACAATTTAAGAATCTTCTATGAATCTTTCATTCAACAGTTTCGTTTTGCACGATTAAAAAAAAATTTCTGAGAAAATCAATTCAATAGGAATATCAGTCAAATTACATGCCAAATAGAAAAAGGAATTTGAAAATTTCTTTGTTCCTAGAGTTCTAAAGGCTTGATCATTTTTTCACTTTCAAAATCGATTACGGAAAGCGTCACAATAGACGATGGAGAAATCTGTATGGGTTGAATTTTTAAAAATTTTAAACCAAACCGAAAGAAAATTTCCAATACATTAGATACAATCAGTAGTAGACTTAAGAAGGGAGTTGGGAAGATCTCGCCATATTGACCAAAAATTGTTTTTTTGTTCTACTAGAAAAGGATTGAACATGCGCTCTTTCTACCTGCAAAGAGTCTTAAAATACTTTTCACAATCATGATAGTCTTCATCTTCGTCGAGTCGCTCCACATCACCACCGAATATTATAATATCATAAAAATCTTTGATCTACCACTGCGTATACTGGATAAATACTGAAATACGTTTTTCTAAATAACAATATGAATGGTTAGTTTTCAATGTTCTTATCTTAGAGTCTATAAGGACACATAAAATATTATATCATTGCTAATAACGCGATTTGTTTTTAGTGTTCTTAGCCAATATGTTTTCATATTTATCTAAACTACATAATTTTTTGTCAGAACAGAACCGTGCCCATCTCGTGCACGTTTGCCATTTCATACAGTAAAATATATTCGACTGTATTATTGAGAACAAAAACGTTTTTTTGTTGATAGCATAAATAAAAGTATGATGTGAAATTCTTCAATCACCCGAAAGTATTTTTAAAAGTTTCATTGTTTACGATAGAAAAATTCTTTTTAATGATAACATGTACGTCTTATGCCGAGAAGAGATCCTCTTGTTTTTCAATTCATTTTGCTTTTGGTTTGATTAGATTAGATTTTATTTTTATAAATTACGCACTGATATTGCTGAGTGTATAATAAAGCACATTTATCTTGAAATTAATTCGGTTAATAGGATATTCGAATGGGAAATTAATAATAAAATGTTAACTCTTTCTGACTGCATTGTTTCTTAATCGGTTCAAATAAAACCCAACATAAAAATAAACCGAAACTTGATTTAATTATAAATAAATTGACGAATACAAACTGTAGACGGATACTGCAGGCGCATGATCACGTTCGAATTCCCCGATTAACTTCTGTGCTTCTTCAAAAGCAGCTGCACGGCTGAGACAGTCGATCTAAATAAATAAAGATAGAGAATTATTATAAATTTGTCAAAGAACAACGGATCATTTTTAGTATACCATTGTTGTATATATTATTTCTGTTTTCGTTTGAATATTATTGAAGATTGAACGAGCTACATCAACAAGTCCTGAATGTGAACATGCATTCAAAACACAAATGTAAGTTAAATGATCAATGGATTCTTTCGGCATTTGATGAAATAGTTTTACTGCTTCATCACCCATTCCATTTAAACCATAAGAATTAACTATTGAGAAAAACAATCAACTTCTATGTTTTTGTAAAGGAAAAACAACGAAAACACACTCATCGCTGTCCATCCAATGTGATCCGGTTGAGATATTTTGTCAAATATTCGTTTTGCTTTATCCACAGAACCAACTTTACCCTACATTTATTTTGAGACAGGGAAAATATCACGATAAAAGAAAAACTATGTGAACATACCCACATATGAATCAATGCAGATCCAATTCGATGATCAGTAAGAAAATAACTTGGAATTTGTTGAACAAACGATTGAGCTTTTTCTAACATGCCAAGCTTAGTCAAAGCTTTTAACAGACATAAATAAACAATAATATTTGCTTCAAAACGATCAGTGTTCATTTCAGATAATAACTTCTTTTGTTTCCCGCTATGATTTTCTCGATGGAGTTCATCAAGATGAATCTCATTAAACATGCCAATTGCTTCTTCCTCTTGATCATTTATTGTCAAGCCTATCCAATAAAATGGATTACAGAATTACTAATAAAAAAATATTATATCAACCTTTCATCATAGCTCCATACATTGATAATGCTTTCTTGGTTGATCTATCGAATAATGCTTTAGCACTTGTCACATCGCCACATTTCATAAATGCATCAATAAGAGAAGTTACAACATAAGAATTCGAGTAAAAAGAATTGGAAATCTTTGATGAAATTGATTTTAATAAAATTAATTCTTTTTCCGTTCCTAGTTGAGCGCAGGCATTAAAGAAAAGAGTGATTATAGTTTCATTTGGATCCTTAATTTCATTGAAAAGATCAATTGCTTGCTTAGATGAATTGTTTATTATAAAACCTATTTACAAGAAGAAATGCGCCGAATAGAAAATTTCGTACGCACAGAAATAACTTTTACCTTTCATCATAGCTCCATACATTGATATTGTTTTCTTTGAGGATCGATCAAATAATGATTTAGCACTTGTTACATCACCACACTTCATAAATACGTGAATCAAAGATGATGATAGGTTAGGTTCCAAAAACAAACTTTCCGGGATATTAGATAAAATCCTTTTTACCAAGTTTAATTCTTCGTTTGTGCCCAATTGAGCACAAGCGTTGAATAAGAGAATGATGATGACTCTATCAGGATCTTTTATTTCGTTGAAAAGATCAATGACTTTTTTCGGCAAGTTATTCTTTATATAACCTACAAATAATCGAATAAAAATTAGAAAATCAAGAAAAAGTATGTTTACCTTTCATCATTGCCCCGTACATGGGTAATGTTTTCTTTGTTGATGTCTCAAATAATAATTGAGCACGATTAATGTCGCCACATTGCACTGTAATTAAACATTAAAGAGGTATTATTATTATTAGAAGCTTTTTTTGAGCTTTTTGAGAAGTCATTTCGATTTCTTCAATACTATTAGTTTTTTTTAGGGGCGATACAGGATTTAAGTAAAAACCAGTAGAGAGTGAGAATATACAAGCTTTTATAGCGGAAATCTAAAGTTACCTGTTACCTAGTTCAAATCTCAGTCCCGATTGAAAATAAGTTCCCATTCAAAGTGAGCAAAAAGAGGGTTGTTATATTTGAAAAACAGCCCAATTTGATTGTTAGTAAGAAAAGTTTTCTTTCCAACTGTTAGGTTAGGAATAACAGGAAAATACGAAAAAGCAATAAGGACCTATGGCAGTGTTCAGAAGCTTCATATATCTATTTACACACGGATTTTTATTATCCTCTACGTCTCAAGAGTTCATTTAGTTTATCAGTGACTTTTATAATGAACCAAAGAATAATCCTAGTTTATATTTGAAAGTGTAAATTTTCGTATTCTGAAGCTGCGTTGTTACACTCTTTCGCATTGAAAAAATCGATTTAGAAACTATTCTTGAAATATCGTGCTCAGGTTTTTCTTCTTCTTGGTAAAGATATTGCTATGATGATTATCAGATAAAATTATTTATATACTCTAAATTTTGAACTGTATAGAACCTCGTCTATGAAGATAGGGCGAGAAAACGCTTGATTAAAATATACAATTTTGAAAAATCACGCATCAAACTATTTCATAACGATTTGATTTGATTGAAAGATATCATAGAAAATTTTAATTCGATTGTAACGATTTTGCTAGTTCAAATATAACTTAATAAATGATTTTGAGACAAAACAAGATCCTAGAAGAATTTCTGGAGAAATACGCTAGTTTCAATTGATTCACGGTTTTATGATATGAAAACTAGTGAATCGATTATTCCTTCGTTTTTTCAATAAACACTTACTATAGAAATGAATTAATGACGGTAACACATAAGGATCATGTTTTAGACGAGATGAAATAAGATTATGAATTTTCAAACCATGCTGAACATCATTTATTTGAGTACATGCTTTTAAAGCTTGAATAACAATCCAATTGGAACATTTATCAATGTTGTTTTCGTTGAATGCATCAAATAATTCAAGAACTTTTTTATACTGCTTATTGTCATTTAGAATTTTCATCTGATCGCCTATATTAACATTATTTCCAGTGCTTGCTAAACATCTTCCAGCAAGTATTACAAATCTCAGATAATTATTTTTCAATATATTTGACATCATACTACTTTTTTGATTAAGAATAATATTTTAATGTTTTCAATAGAAATCTAGAAAAAAATTGCAATTAGGTAATTCAATTCTATTTATAAAGTATTTTTTGATATATTGGTTTATATAATAAAGTATGTTGAGGGTATAAGTGTGTAGCTCCGTCGCTCCCACATCCTTAAGGTAAAACATAGATATTTTCTTACAACAAACTCGCACAATTTAATGTTGGAAGTCGATTTAAAGTAGATGTTGCTGGTGTTTTTGCACCTGTCCATTGGTTGAAATCATTGTAAAATCTGATCTAGAAGAATTTATTGAGGACGTTAATTGATGTGTATGATTGGCTGACGAACTTTTTATAAGTGATAATTAATCATATTCAATTGCTAACTGATGATTGTGCATACAATTTTCGCGACAAACCGATACTAAATGTCGAAAATCTATTTGATTAAAAAGCTTTTCTTGTTAATAAAATAAAGCAAATTTGTTGAACTACTAATTAAATTTGCAAGTGTTGTTGATGAAGACGTTCTTGATGACTTGTTTACATAAGTAATTTTAATTCACATTCATGAAAATCATCATCTCCCATTTCTAATTCTAAACGTTGATGATTTTGTGAAATAATTCATTCTAGCATTACACGTTCACAATCACGAATTTGCTTTGAAAAAATTAATTATTAAAACACGAGATACAAGAAAAAAGAATGTTTTATCGTTTTACTTTTTCTTTTGGTTGTAATTCAGCAAAAATATCTTGAATTTCTTTACGTCAATCTTGTCCTAATGTAAAATAACTTTCTTTATTTGGTTCCATATTATTTAAATCATGATTCCAATAAATTTATTTATTTGTTCATATAATTCACGAAATGTTGGTGGATTATAGGGAAGTGATTGCCAACGATCTATTGAAAAATAATTGTATTTATAAGAATAATGAAGACAAAAGAAAACTTTTATTAATTGTGATACATTTGCTGAGAATTTTCTATGTACGTACATAGAAAGATCATGATCTAGCAGAAATAATAAAACTTCTGGTTCCATAATAAAAATTGTGTGATCACATTGAAAACAATCTCGAGTCAACATGGACCTTTTATGAAACATAATTAAGAAGTTCATCGCGATAGGGAGGGTATAAGTGTAATACGTTTTCTTTATTATTCTTACCTGCGAACATCAGATTTTTTGAAATTCATTACCTCGTATACATTGTGGATTCATCTAAGAAAATATTCCGGTAATTGACATGCTTGATGTTTTACAAGACGAAAATCTATAATTTTGAATGTTTTATATAAAAGTTCATTATCATTATGAATATCTTCAATTGGTTGTAAAATGAGAACTAAAACAATATTTGAACACATTTTAAATGCCAATGAATAATATGTTCAGATGCTGCATCATGTAAATATTTCATTCCATTAGAAATTTGTTTAGCATATTGAATAAAAACATTGGGATAAAGGCCGGATTTTCTTTCTTGTAAAAGAGAATCTGATGCACCATCTCGTGCGAATTCTATAACAAGATAAAGATTACGTTTTGATAATGGTGGACAAATACCATATGATTTAATTATATTTTGATGTGGATTATTTACACATAATCAGCGAACAATCTTTTATTTTGCGTTTGGTTCTATTGGTGTTTTATTTTCGAATGTGATTTATATTTTCCAGATCAGAAAAAAACATTTTACATCGGATTGAATGAACAATTTGTTATTGAAATAATCGAGCGACATCTGTAAGTCGATCGAACCATCAGATGCAAGCTGAATGAATCAGAGAGAATTTTTTATATTCCATTAAAATTAATACCGTCAAAAACATAATCAAATATAGTTATGTAATGTAACAACACCAGGGCATTGATTAAGCTGGTGTTCCTCCTTATATACGCTATACAGTTAAGCTGGTGTTCCATTTCATTTACATAGTTTTCCCCCGCGAATGAGCGGTGGAACACTATGTACATGAAAAGGAACACCAGCTTAACTGTATAGCGTTATATAAGGAGGAACACCAGCTTAATCAATGCCCAACACCAGTTCGGCATATTGATTCGGGTGAAAAGTTTTCGTTCGCCTGGAGTGAGCTACAAAGGTTCATTGACTATGTTACAATGAGCAGGCAGTACTAAATAATTCACGAGAACAATGAATCAAATGATAAATAATAATCTCAATAATTCGTAGTTGTTTTGTTTTAAATAAAAATAAATATCGATTTTACATTGTGATTTAAATCTATGGGATAGACTGATATTAGTAAACGTTCCATAATTTAAAAGAAAACAACTATGACGTTTTGCACTTAAGTTTGAAAATGCAATAAAACATTTCAACAAATTCGATCAGCGAATGTTTAAAAAACGACTTATTGGCAAACTATATGATAAATTTACACATGTATGCCATTTCATATTTGGATTAACTTCAAACGAACATCATAATAAACAATAATAGGTATAAAATCTATGAATATCCGTGTAAAATAAAAACGATCACTATCAAGCTAAATGGTTTGAAATATAGCATTGCATTGGTGTGCGCAGATAGAAATAGCCGAGTGTTTAGTTTATTGACGGTATTGACGTATTGTGAAAAAATTCAAAACTGATACTGAAGACATTGTTAACATGTCAACGTAAAAATATTTTTTTACGTTGAAGTGGCACGACTGCTATTTTTTAAGAACGTTTAAAAGATCGTATCGGTATTCGCTATTTTAAGATTCAATGATATGATGATAGCGTGATTTTTGTAGATAGTTTATGTACATTGCTAGATTTTATATACTTATTTAAGTAACGCAACAATCCAAAAGATCAGAACATGCACGAATTTGTCATTGATGCATGTATTTCGATCAAACTTGAAATTGAAAATTAGTTTATCCGTCGTTCTCTGTTAAGAAACTATAGTATTCATGGTAATGTTATACTATCGCAAAGTATGAAACTTTTTGTTCAGTCTTCACTGCTCATTCATATTTATATCATCTCGGTTCAAAATCAATTAAGAAGATGAAACATTTTTCTCGTTAGAAATAAAAAACTGATAAATGCACATGCGTAGTTTTAACAACATTACTATTGGTTCATTTAGCCAAATAGACCTGCAACCATAACAAAAGGAAAAAAATAACTTAAATACTAGAAGCTGATGTTGGTGCTGCACTTGGGTTATGAATTGTAGCTTCGACTAAGAAGCCAAGTAATTCTTTTCTATAATCATCGAAATCTCCATCAGTTTGATTAATTTGCTTGTGTTCAACAACATTTACACCACCTTCGAAGTCATGAATTGCATCAACTATTGCATCGATCCATTCAATATCTAGATTATTCGTAGTTTCACCAAGAGTTAAAACATCAGGTTGACGTGCTATTAAATCTGAAAGGGCAACGCGAGTTTTTGGTCCACTGGATAATTTTTTCATTTTAATTGTATCAACACAACCAGGTACACCAACACTTACCAATGATTTTCTTGTATCTTGTTCGAACATAACATATTAATATGTCGTTTTAAATGTTCAATAGCTGTTAATTCTAAATCGAATTGTTCACCGACATGTTGATCAAAACGATCAACAAGAAAACGATGATTTCGACGAAATTTGTCACGGCTTGGTCCTTGACATCTATTAATAATTTTATCTAATTAAATACCCAAAGAAAATAAGTACGTATCTAATTTTAAACTATTATATAAACCATTAATGAGTGAATCTTTTTATAAAGAGCTTCATCCTTTCAAGGAATACTCTAATTTCTATTCAAACCTCTACTTTAAAGCATATGCTGTCGTCATATGAATAAGATAGGGTAGTACATCGCGTTTCTCATATAAACGGTAATATTTTCCCTCCGACTTCTACATCTATTATCCCATCGATGTGGATGTCATCCTGAATGCTTTTCAGACACACACACTACCTAACACTTATACCCCAATGCATAGCCTTGTTTCAGTTTTCCCGTATATTCAATCTGAACAATAGTATTCTTTTTAATATGACTCAAAATCTCATAAATGTTAAATTATAGAAAAAAAATAATGTTCTTTATTTTCATATAAAACAACAACAATGCAGAACAACAAAAAGTGAATATACTCAATCCCAAGAAAAAAAAACATTTTTTTAAAAATAGTCTTGGCATGAGCATTGTCCATTCAAATGAAAGTGATGTATACGATTTGCGTCACGAACCACTATTTCACATTGATAAATCAAAGCAACTAATTTAGTTACTTCATCTATGAAGAAAAAGAAGAAATTCAATGAGAAAAAACAGATTGATTCATGAC